GCTGGTGATCAGGTAGGTTATCATGTCAAACTAGTGAAGTAGCTCATAAAGTCTTATCACTTATTTGGTTTGAGGGAAGGGATTGAAATTTCCCTATTTGGATAACAAAAAAATTGGAATGGGGGAAATGGAAGGAAACAGAGGGGAAGGGAGGGGAGGGAAATGGACTCTGTTTCCATTTCTCTCAAACCAAACAGGGGGTTAAGGTTTAATAACTTGTGCTACACAGCATGAGTGATTGCATTAACTCATCAAGCACCTTGTCACTTTGAATCAGAGTGACTAGTTTCTTTTTGATGCAGGAGCCCTTTCCCATGGGTACTAAAATTCGATCAAAGCCTGGAAAGCCTCAAACAACGACCCCAGAGAACAATAGCCAAGTTAGCTCCTCAACTTCAGCGAAGGGGGAGGAACCTTCCAATGGGGTAGAACCTTGGTCAGGTTATCCCAAGTATTCTAACTAAGCTATCTGCTGTGCCAAGCAGTAATTGTGGAAGAGTAGTTTCGATAATCCAAATGCATTTTGTAACTATAGTTGCTTGACCATTTCATTTGTTTCTAGGAAAATTTTTGTATGAATGGCCACTATGAGCATAGAGAATAGCTTAAAAATGTTCCCGAGTCTATGCATGACTCCAAGGATCCCTCCTGTTCTCAGTTTTGTATACTGATGTCTCCAAATGTAATTTCCTTCCTTTTTGCTCAAGGAAGGAGAGAGAAATGTCATATTATAAGTATTATAGTAATTGAATTTTTAAACTTCCTTTTTTTTCCCTTTTTTTTTTTTTTGTAAAGAAACACTTTTTTTTAAAATAATAAATGTGTGATTCTTTTTCGTTCAGAAAGATAATCAAGTTAATTACAACAATAATTTAAGATTTTGAGACTAATATCCAAAGAACAATCACACAACTATGTAATGTAACTTACACTAATATCCAAAGAACAATCACACAACTATATAATGTAACTTAACACAACATCACACGAGTTGATGAAAATAAGAAGCAAGAAAGGAACTGGGTTTTACATAATACTAGCATTCAAAAACAAATAGAGATTTCAAAGATTATGAAACAACAATCAAGTCAAGCAGACAAGACCCATTGTTTTGGTTTTATTTCCTGCCCATTCCAAGATGAGATCCTTTTGACAGGCTGAACAAAGATGCAGACCCAACCTGCACAACATGATCCCACAAAGCCATTCATCATCAGTACAAGAGGAGTATAAGCATTAAGGAGTAATCTAATCCACATATTACAAAAATTCTCAACTCGAAAACATATGTAGCATATCATCCTAAAATACCCTACAGGCCTACACCATCTTTCCAAACCCTTTGTACCTAGTGTAGCCTATCCTAGCAAACACTTTCTAGAAAACAAACCCATATCTCCACAGAAGCATTTCATCAAACACCTAATGTGCATAACCAAAAATAAGCTCAAATCTTCCTAGACTTGTTGCGCTCCAACCCCCAAAAATCATATAAACTTGAGTCTTTCTCACAAATCACAATAGATCAATTAAAGTACAACAACAACCAATTTGATCAAAATCAATTCACAGAAGATTAGTTAGTTATTGATGCATTACACACTAGATGAAAGATGAATTAATTAAACATTAATGATTATGAGAGGATGGAATCAAATGATGGCTAAAAGCATCAGCCACAAGATCGAGCCATATATATGAACCACGAAACTATTTGGTTTCAAATATTCAACAGTGAATATATGATTACGAAAAATGAAGGATATTTTTCAAAAAAAAGGGAAAAAAGAAACGAGAGTGAAATATTGTAGTTTGAACATTAAAAAGAAAAGAAAAGAAAGCTTACCCCTGGTATTGGATCTCGGCCGTTTGATTTGATGCAAAACTTTCCATTTGCAGTCCTCAAAAAGGAAAATTCACAGAGGGTTTAAGGACATTTTTGCCTTGGGATCGTCCCACTCCAGTGATTCCCACAAATTTCTTGGCCTTATAGAGATTGTTTGAAGAGCAGCTGGAGGAGATGGCGGCACATTCCCGACCAGGGGAATCCTCCTTAACTTTGGACATTCCTGTATTTGTAATTCTTGGAGAGAATCACAAACCATTACTCCTCTTGCGGGGCAGATTCTCTCCAATTCTAGTAAATTCTGCAAATTCAACACTCTTAATTTTGGAAGAATGAATGCAGCAGTAGTAGTTGCATTAACTGTGTGATTTTCCTCCTTTGCTTCCCACCCTATTATTTCCTCCATTTGTTGACAATCCTGAACTGTAATAACCTCCAAGTTTTGGAGGCCTTGCAGCAGCTCAAATGAAAACAACCTCTTCATTGTAGAACATTCCTGCATCACAAAGAATTTAAGATTGGAAAAGATGTGAGGCGATGTTGCTTCTACTCCTTCCACATTCACAACAACACTCAAGTTGGGCAACTTATAAAGGAATAGCCATTCAAGGTTATTAATGAAAGATGATGATGACGTCACCATGTCAACCACACACCCTATCTCTTCACACTCAGCAACACAACACCTTCTCAACTCAGTTGTTTTTTGGAGAGAATAAATATCACTTAAGCTTCTAAATTTTCTACCCCGATAAATCCATAGTTCCTGCACATCATCTGGAAGCACCACGCTATCTTCTCCACCTATCTCACATTCTGCTAAACTTATTCCTTTAGATAAATTAATAAAAGGATGAACGCCGTCCTCCACTTGTCCAACCACAAGCTGGTACTTACTCAATCTTTTAAAATGATTAGACTTAACATAATTGTTCAAGTCTTGCAAGTCATACAATTGAGCTGCAAAAGTCTCCAACCTCTTCAATCCTCTTACTTCTTCTCCTTTTATCTTTAAAGTAGTCGAGTTCAAATATACTGTCAAGTGCTGGAGGTGAGAGAGGTTACCGAGTATTTGTGTCGGTAGCTCCACCAATTCTGGACACCGTAAATCAAGATATTGGAGATTTACAAGCATATCAATACCTTCAGGGACCACAACAATTCCCGCCTCAGACATATCCAACTTCTTCAATGCCTTAAGCTTTGCCAAGCAAGGCACATGTTTTAATTGCCTACAACCACGCAAGAGCAATGTAGTAAGATTCTCCAAATTGCAGGTGGAATGAGGTAGACTTTCAATGCTAGTTCCAGAAAGATTGAGACACTTGAGCCCTTGCATGTTTGCAAAAAAGCAATCTGGAATTTGGCTCAATGTCCTATTCCATTGCAACATCAAGGTTGTGAGAATGGGACAATTTGGGCACATGTTTAGAGGAATATCTGAGATTTCATTCTGCATCAAGGAAACCTTTTCAAGATTTTCAGTCCATTCATGCTCATCTGGTATCTCTGTCAATCCCATACGAGCCTTCACCATAAATTGAGAACCAATGCTCTTGATGCGTAATGCCATATCTCTCACAACATCATGCATTTTAACAGCACCTGGAATACGAGCTTTCTCTAACAGACAACTGTTTTCAAGGCTGTTTAATATGGTTCGTCCTTTAACAAGCATTGCTTGTCTACTCCCTAATTCTTCAATAAGTTCCTCATCAATCCATTGTTCAACTAGATCATATTTGCTAATTTCATAGTCTTCAGCATATAGTGAGCAAGATAAGAAACAATTTTGGATATTTGAATCTTGCAAACGATCATAGCTGAACTTCAATCGCTCAAATATCTCATCTTCTGAACCTTCGGCTGTAGCTCTTACGCGTCCACGTAATTCATTTAAAGCATGCCTCCACTCATGGACATCAGTTACTCGTTTCATGCTCCCAGCTATTACAACAATAGCCAAGGGTAGTCCAGCACACTCCTCCACCATGGCTTTCCAAAATCCTTCCAATTCTGGAACTTGTAGAATGTCCCTTCCCACCTTCTCTAAGAACAAATTCAAAGACTCTTCCTTTGAAAGAGGAGACACTTTAACTATTTCACAACCAAGGGACTTGCAGACATCCACCTTTCTACTAGTAATAACTAGTTTGCAACCGTTTTCCAATGTGGGACTCGGGATTCCAACATCTTCGAGAGTAAACGTCTGCCACACATCATCTAATATCAACACATATTTCACCCTTCCCATCATCTTCATCAATTCAGAAGCTCGCCTTTGCTGATGCTCATTCTCTCGGAGGTATTCCTTCATCCCCTTAGCAATTTCATGTTGTAATCTAAGCACATTGCATGGATATGAGACAGTAACCCAGATCACTTTATCAAATCTAGACTCCATCAATAGTAATTCATTATGGATATGCTTCATAATGGTGGTCTTCCCAACACCCCCGATTCCACAAACTAAGATCATTGGGACCTCATTACCTTTCAAGTATCCCAATATTTTTTCCTTCACAGTAACCTCGCCTTCTAGATCGTCTACTGGTATAGGCAAAGCAGTTGCAGGCTTATTAACTACTAGTCCGTCAGCAAAACTGCCTCGTTGAAGAATTGCATCCAGTACATCAATTTTTTTACGAGCAAGTTTTCCAAGGTGAGCTCGTGAGAAGCATGAAGCTTTGTGCAGCCTGTTTAAAACATCATCCTTCTGAATTTCAGCATTGATCTTCTCTACATCTTGAAGCCATTTCTTCACTTCTTCTTTGGCCTCTTTTTCTAAGTAATACTCGGTTTGAAGTTGTGTTTCGGTTTGAAGTTGTGTTTCTACATCTTGTTTTCTGCAATTAAGATTGCTCAATATGTCTTCCAAACCTTTTGCATTTTCTTTGAAGTTTTTGTAATTATGTACATAACTTCGTGTTGGAGGTGCCACACACCCTATGAATCCAAGAATTAGTGTTGCAATTTCCGCCATGAAGAAAATTCCTGAAATGTGACACCAGTTGAGGTACTTAAGTTTTTTGTTTGCTTCAAATAAAGAAAAAGATCATAAATAAGTAAACAATCTTTAGTCCTCCTCCTGACACATATTTACCGATTTGGCGGATTCGTTGCCTTATATTGGGTTATCTAAACCAACTTATTTGATTATCTTATGCTCTTTTTGTATGTATTACATTGATTCTGCATGTGTCGAGGATTGTCCATCATACACAAGTGAATCCATGGGAACTCAGTTAAAATTGAATTGTTTAACATACGAAACTAATACATATTTGTCATATTATGTAACAAAAAAAAATTTTTGTCATGGTGAAAGACAAATCAAGTATGCATATGTTTAGTAGACATTCAACTAGAAATTAAACCTTTCTATACGTCCAAGAGAGAAAAACATATGACAGTAGTATAAAAAGTAGTATATACCTACAGATCAGGTGGCGAAATGAGGTAAGGATGTTGAAAATATGTGGAGCTGGAGGCAGAGCAAAGAAGTACAAGAATGGGGCCGGCCAAAGATCTGAACAAACACATAACAAATAACCATAACAGATTAGAAAATAATTAACAAAGGTAGATCTGAACAAACACATAATAAATAACCATAACAGATAGAGATTAGAAAATAATAAAGGTAGATGATTAGTTATAACTTAACGGTAGATGACATAACGTAAACTAAGGAAGCTGAGAATAAGCGAAGAACGGGGTGAGAAGTTTAAAGGCAGAGCAAGGAAGCACAATATTGGTAGCGAATCTGAACAAACACATGACAATAATCATAACAGATTAAAAAATAATTAACAAAGGTAGATCGATCAGCTATAATTTCATTTCATTAACAACAAGAAGCAGAAAATATAAACATGATCAGTGGACAACACACCTATAGCCTGTAGCTAGACTGAGGAAGCTGCAAACAGAATAAGCAAAGAAAAACTGAGAAGTGCAATGCTTATTGAGTATGGAAAAGGAAGGCCTATATTTTTCTGCAGGCAAGTCAAATAGTCGATGGAGAATTGTTGACGCACAGGGGTTTTGTTTCGGGCATCTTTTTCTTTCCGGTTGGAAGTTGCGAGGAAAAGCGGGACAAATTAAAAAATGAAAAAGAAAAAGAAAAAGAAAAAAGTAAGTCGAATAGAATCCAAAGTTGATATGGATAAAGCAATAAAGCATGCAACAGTAAGTAACAGTAGTTGTAATTTTGCGTTTTAATAAAGTGAGGAAGACCTCGTTCTCGGCGAGTCAATGTAGAAATATTGATGCAGTAGGTGGTTAGATAAAAAGGCATCACAATTTGTCACATTATAAACGGAAGAATCCAAAGGAGACAGCTGTATATGACATTTAAAAATTGCACACTAAATTTTTTTTATATATTTATTGAACAATACAAAATTTTTAATTTTTATCTTTTATTGATAAAATAGCAGACCAATATAAAACAAAGACTACATGGGAGTCCCTCTCCGAGAGGCGGACAAAAGAAGGTCCAGGGTTCGGCACACGCCCTAATCTGGGCCTCAAAAAAAAATTAGCAAAGAGAGGACATATCCTTTAGACCCACAAAAAAGGAACATGGTAATTGACATTGTTAAACTTGACCTTATTACTTGTAGGCCTCAAATCATAACCCATGTTCAGCCCAATAAAAACCTAATGTTCTGCTCCTAGTCTTATTTGTATTCCATTTAATTTAATCCGAAATCCTTAGCAATAGTGTGCTATCATTATATAAAAAGTTATCTATGTTATTTTATTTTAATCATTATTTTTATATGTAATTATTATTATATCTTTTTATTTTAATTTTTTATTTAATTATCTATACTTATAAATATTTTGAGTCAAAATATAAAAA